TGTATTATAATAGAGACACAAAAATATTGGCCACAAAAATCAAAAATAGATAAATCTCAAAAGTACACATATTAATAATAGTAAGTTTCTGAAACTATTTTTTTTGTCTTCATGACACAACATTTTTGTCGTTTAAACCCATTTTTATTTTTCTTACATTTTTTACTATTTTAAACAATCCTATTTCTTTCTTTTTAAATTCCAATAACAACACACAATATAATAAAAAAATGTTTATTGTTAATTATTTAAACATTGTCCTTCTCATTTTTTTAGTTTTTGGTTCATTTTTTTAGTAAATTTTTCTAAAAAAATCATTCTAAAAGGTTTTTTCACATTTTTTTAACTTTTGATACTTGTTTTCTAATAAAGACTTAAAATATTGGCCGCAAAAGCCAAAAATCTAAAAAAATACTTAAGAATAATGTAAAACAAATTTCTTTTGTCCTTTCTTTACACATCTTTGTCATTTAAACACACTTTTTCCTTTTGTTTTATAATTTTATATTTAACAATTTTATTCGCAAACGTCACAAAAGTGACCACTTTTGTGACTAAATGTCACAAGTAAAGTTTTACCTTTCAGCCATATTAGAGTAAAATTTCTATTTTTGCGCCTAAACGTTTTTACTTTTACCAATGTTATCTCTTTCGCTGCTTTGCAATTTCTGATAAGATACATGGTAGATTATCAACATTCGACATTTTGCACTACTAACTGCACTAGTTAAATTATTAATTAGCTTAGAATGAATTCGTTTGCAGATCAAATTGTGTATGTTACGTTCAGTTTTGCCACATAAATTATCACTTTTACTCTTAATAGCATAATATACTATTACGATATCATATCCTTCAATTTTTACTAGGTATATAGACAGTGCCAGAATCTCTTTAAAAATATTTTTACAAATTTTTAACATTTTATTTTATTTCCTAAATGAAAAAAAATATTGCAATTCACATACAAATTCTTTATTTACTCTTCAATAACTAAACAATTTTAATTAAAATTTTTACAATTACAAAATTATTGTAGAAATACTTTTTTATGCTTTGAATAATGAAGCTGCTCACGAATTTTGAGACAGTCTGTATTTTCAAAAAAATGTTTGTATTGTTAACGTTTTTGTGCACTTAAAATTACTCTATTACCCTCTTTTTTTACTGGACAAAAATTAAATCAACACGTTTCTGGTCACTGGTCTAATTTTATCTGGGTTATTATTTATGCATTACATACTGGTTAAGCCGCGTCGTTACCCTATAAATATCCCTCTCAATATAAAAATAAAATCACTAAATATTCATATAAATGTAAAAATAAACGAAAATCCCCGCATCAAAATTTAATAAAAATAATTCGCTTCGTGGAAAAATGAGATTTGGAAGTGCAGGCCATCGCACCGTAATATCAACATCACGATGATTAAGAGACGCCTGGTTATTGGTTGACATTTACAACGTTGCTGGAATAACTTGTCCGATTTTACATATTGAATGTCAGACATTTGCTTCTAATTCGTGGATCGTTATCAGTTTTCAATAAAAACTATAATTTCAATTCACAAATGGCGGAACAACATGTTAATTACGACGAGAGCCGTAGGCGCGCCAATAAAAATAAAATTTCAAATTATTATTATTATATGGGCCATAAAATTATCAAGAAATTCACTCAGCGAAATAAAACTTTGATCAAAATTCAATTTATTCTCACATAATTCTGTGAAGACATTTTACAAAAGATTAACAACTCTGTTAATTATGATTGAAACATTTGTTCAGTTTGGGACTTTTCCCATTCCGGTTATCAGTAGAAAGTGCAGTTTTGTTGTCCGAGATAATTGCATTCCGTTTAATTGCACAACTTTGATTTATTGACTTAGGAACTGAGACCATGACACGCGATTATCCCAACGACAAGCTTCAAGAATAAATAAATAATTTATTTGGTCCCGGAACCAGTCACACTATCAAACAATAATTTTCGATTTGAAACGTTTTTTATCAAAAAAATTGTATTCCAATTTTCCCAATTAATTTCATTAATTAATTTCAAAAATGTGCAAATTTGGTCACCTAAACC